GTCTGCATGCGCTCTGCCTGAAGGGTTGGGGAGGCAATCGGCCATAGGTGACTGTGTGGGCCCCAGAGCTTCTTGCCAGTGCCCCAGATGAAGCAGTGAACAGTGAGGACACTTACTGAGCTGTCACATCATTAAAGACTGCTTTCTGCTCCTATCTTCGTGTTAAAGAATTATACGTGCCAGGGAGTTATCCTGCTTCACTGTCACACCCTGTGGAATCACCTGGCATCTCCCCACCTTGACTGACTTCCACAGAGACAGGGCCTGGGCAGCCAGCATGTGGGTTTAATGGCCGCACCTCTGTGTGGGAGAGGCCACTCCTCAGGAGACGTCACTGACAACCAGTGGCATGGTGAGTGACTCAGGCCTCCTCTGGTGAACTTCAGGGCTGCCGAGCTACTGGGCCAGAGGGCCTCCTCCTCCTCTGTCGGGACTGCAGGAGGCCTGTCCTGTGCTGGTTATCAGGGGCAGGAGGACATCTGGAGCCTCACCCTTTCTCAAGTTTGTCAGAACTGGAATTCTGTTTCCCAGAGCTCAGAGCCTTGGCTATAAATCTAACCCAGTGCAGTTGTGTGGGAGGAGAACTTGGAAAGAAAACTCTTCGGTAAGTTTCCATCGTTCAGAAGTTAACAGATACACTAGGTCAGTGTGTTGCTTGTTGGATTTGACATCTTCATAGCATACTATCTAATGTTTCTGAAACCTTAACTTTATTTATTTTATATGTCTATGTATTTGGTTCACATCACATTATGCTTTGTGAGTCTATAAGCTTGTTCCTAAAGTATAACTGGGCTGAAAAGTAAACCAAGGTGGGTAGAGATATACACATGGAAATGAATTAAGCATTTGCAAAGTTGCCATAGGCTGAGGTGGGAGGATCCCTTAAACCTGGAGTTTGGTAGCCTGGGGCACATAGTCAAAACCCAATCTGAAAAAAAAAATATATGGCTGTGGGTGTAACCAGTGGTAGCATGCAGAAGGTGATGGATTCCATCCTTAGCACGAGGTGGGGGGGAATGCGTTATTGACTACTGATGGACAAAGACAGAGAGACAGAGACAGAGGGGGGGAGGGGAAGGAAGGGAAGAAAACCTTCCAGGTCACCACTGAGACTCATTTAGTACAGTGCCATGAGGTGCAGCAGACGGAGACCTGCGTGCACAGCACAAAGTCTCCCTCCCTGGAGACTGGTGTTCTTCTCTGAAGGATCCCACAGGGAACAATGTCCCTCTCTGACAGTTCCCACTTGAGGCTTGGTGCCCTTCTCTGATGTTGTAGGTTTAGTTGGAGACTTTTGGTCTTCCTAGATGACAGCTTCTCCCCCTCAGCACTGCTCACATCACCGGCTGGACAGTTCCTGCCATAGGGCAGAACTAGAAGCATCATTCCTCTTCCCATCCTAAGCTTCGAAAGCCCAAAGTCTCCAGATACTGACAGATGTCCCCACGGGGGAGGGTGTCCCCACAGCACTGCCTTGATAACTCTTCATCACCAAATCTTATGAGGATGCTGGTAAAGCTGGTTGTCATGGTAATGCTCACTGCCTTTGGCCAGCAGAGATTTAAGGCTATTTGTGTGAGAGGTAATTGCAGCCATTAGCTATGTAGACTCTCAGATCTGAGCCAGAGCACTGTGTTTCAAGGCTCAGAATTTCTCAGACAGATATGCTTTTTAGAGAAAGAAATGGACACAATGAGTATTCAGACATACAGGAATGATTGTATGAAGGTGTAGTTTTCTATCACATTTTTTCCCTGTAAGAAGGTTTAATTTTAGTGAAATTAAAGGAGAAAGTATTTATGACATTTGTTAAGGAACAGTAAGGTAGACTTTATTCATGGGATCATTGTGGTAAGTGTAGGGGCTATGTAACAGGGCCTTGCAATAGGTCAGAGATAGTTGGAAAAAGGATAAGTGGATCTGGGCCAGTCCTGAAATCTCAGCACTCAGGAGGCTGAGGCAAAAGGATTGCCAGTTTGAGGCCAGCCTGGATGACATAGCCCAATGTCTCAAAAACACAGGGGGGGGGAGGAAAGGGAGGGAGGGAGATTTGTAACAAAGGAGCAGGTTGAGCCTAAGAGAATACATGGGAGGAGATAGATGCCTGCTAGACAGACTCAGCAGGATTCCTGCTGGAGGAGGGTGGGGTGTGAGGAATTCAATCAGATACTGAGGGAGGCCTGAGGTCTCACCCTTGGGTGTAAAGGGTCTCACTGGAGTGGGGTGGGAGTCTGGCCACTGTAGGCCAAGAAGCTGACCAGGTGGGTCATGCTTGTTGTTATCTACTGCCTAGGTCACAGACCTGAGGTGCCACATGGCACAGCCCTACCTCTCCTGCCCACAGAATGAACTCTGTGGAGAGTGAGTGTGGGTCTAAAATCAGGATCAGATTAGCCAATGGGGGTGCTGAGGCAGGAGGATGGCAAATTTCAAGCCCAGTCCAGGCTTGGAATTTAGAGAGACCCTGTCTCAAATTTTTAAAAAAGAATTCAATGCCTAATACTACAAAAATGACAACAATAAAATCACGGAAATTCTCTTACCCTGAGATACATCCCACTGAGAACTCAGTCATTTTCCTGAGTTTGGGAGAAATAGACGAGAAATCTCACTGCTCATCTGCTGTTTTTTAAAAACTATCTTTTTTTAGTGAAAAGAATAAGATTCCATTAAAATATCACTCCATGGGGCTTCAGATGGCCGGTGGCCAGCGTCTCAAACTACAGCTGTCACTGGGCAGTGACCTGGGTAGCTTCTCTGAGCTTGGGCGCTGTGCCTGCTTCCAACAGTTGGGAGGAGGGAGGCCCGAGAGGCCGAGGGGCTTATGTGGCATCTGGCTCCCAGGACTGTAGGATGGAGGAGGAAGGCAGCCAGGTCAGGCAGTGCGTGGGAGGTGAGTGATCAGTTAACAACATCTAGCCTGGCTGTGGTGAGAACATTTTACCTGTAATGGAGAACAGCAGCAAAGACGCAATCCTCGCATGCTGACCTCTGACCTGACCTATAGCGAGCCCTCCACACCACACAGCCAGGGCTGCCACCTAAACCCCAGAAAGAGCACGGAAGTTGATGTGGATGTAAACCTTCTCAAATGTGCTGGAAACACGAGTTACCCTTAACAGGTGTTTGCGAGTTAAGCACCTTATTTAATGTCTCAGACAGTCCCGAGAGGGGTCTGTCACATTCTAGCTCAACTCAGTAGACATTTTGGATGCTTCTCAGGCATCAGCCCAGGGTTGGGGACAGGCAGGATGGAGGGATTTTTATTACAGGCCAAATGCTTTTCATTTATCTTATTTCATTACTTCTTTCAACAAACACTGATTTCTGGTTAAGTGCCAGGTGCTATTTTAGCTGTGGGGACAAAAGAGTAAGCGAAATTAAGTCCCTGCTCTCATGAGGCTTACATCTTAGCCAGAAAAGACAGAACTAGACAAAAATAAAAGAACAAATAAGTAAAACCACCGCATAGAATGTAAGACAGAAAAGTGTTCCACGATGAGATGAGGAATTAGAAGCGCCCTCGGTTGCCAAACCGTAGCTGGGGGCGTGGCCTGGGAACTCCGCCGCGCGGTGCGCGTGCGCGAGGCGTTTTGCGGCTGCCGGCGGC